AATTTGCATGGTTATTCACACCCACTTTGTGATCCTCGGCATCCCAATCACAAACGAGAGGGGCATATCGAGATTTAAACATGCCATTGAAAAGTTCAATGAATCTCATTGAAACCTAGGAATTCTCAATGCATTTAAAACTTAAAGGAAATGGTTTCATGGTGGAGATTTAGTGAATCGTCATTCACTTACCTTCAAATTGTTTGCATGTTGGATTACGACATCGCTTTTCTAATATGTAAATAATGTTGTTTCATCCTAGCCCTAATTTTTCTTATTGGGTGATAATTAGGGATTCAAATTCTAATCAATCTTTGTCCTTTCTAATTATAGATGTCGAACGCGAACAATGTTGCTGCTAGTTCATTCACATTGATGAGCCTTTGCCAAAAGGTGAATTTCGATGGAACGAACTTTAGTGAATGGATAAGATACATTCGCACGATTGCTCGCTACGAGGACAAGGAGTATGTCCTCGACGAAAAGCTCGAAAAGATCAATCCAGAAATCGCTACTTCGCCTGAAATCACCGCTTTTGAAACTCATGAGCATGATGCAACGAAGGTTCATTGCATCATGATAGCCACTATGAGCTCCGAATTCAAAAAGTCCTATGAGGACATGTATCCGTACGAAATGCATCAAGCCTTATTGAAGAGATACCATCAAAACGCGAGGCAGGATCGTTACGAGATCTTCACTAACATGATCTCTGCTAAAATGGGACATGGAGAATCTCTAACCGTACACTTGCAAAAGATGCAAAGGTACGTCGATCGTCTTCGCAAGTTGAATGTCGACTTTGGGGAAGATTTGGCTATCGACATGGTACTTCATTCCTTGCCTCCGTGTTACAACCAATTTAGGATGACCTACCACATGAACAAGGAAGAGGTCACCCTAAGTAAACTCCAAGGTCTCCTAAGGGTTGCTGAGAGCAACCTCAAGGACTAGTCTGTTGAACCAACTCTCTATCCACCCGCTTCTCCTGTTTTTGGGTATTAGGCAAGGAAGGGGCAAGAAGAGGAAGGCTCCGTCTAAGAGCCACCGCAAGGGAAAGTCCCGAGATGGTTCCTCTTCAAGTGGGACCAAAGTTGATCCTACTAAGTCCAACTCTAACCAAAAGGAGGCAGAGTGCCACCATTGCCACAAAATAGGGCATTAGAAGAGAAGTTGCCCAGAATACCTACAAGCCATCAAGGAAGGAAAGATCAAGCCATCTTTCGCAGGTATTTACACAATTAAATCTAATGATTCATCTCATACTATTTCTTCGGTCCTCAATACCGGATGTGGTTATCACATTTGTTCTGAATTGCAGGGACTAAGAAGAAATAGGGATGTGGAGCATGGAAGAATAAATCTAATCATGGGGAACAGAAGATTGTCGCCTGTGACCAACATTGGAGTGTATTCTTTAGTGCATAGTAATGGCTTATGTTTACATTTGGATAATTGTTGCTACTCGCCAGAAATAGCAAGAAACATCATTTCGTTTCATGGTTTGTTTAGACAAGGATTTAGATTTTCTTTTAATAATGAGAATGGTTCTATTTATGCTTATCTAAATGGTGTCTTATATTTTGAAGCAATGCCATGTAATGGAATTTATGAAACTTTTATGATTGTAGATAACCTAGGAAATGATGTTTTATGCATGGATTCTTCCAATAGTATGGATAAAACATCCTTGTGGCATTGTCGTCTTGAACATTTCAACAAGAAGCGCATAGCCCAACTCAAAAAGGATGGAGTGTTGGAGTCATTCGACCTTAGGGAAGATGACACATGCGAATCTTGTTTACTTGGAAAGATGACTAAGTCACCCTTCACTAGCACATGTGAAAGGGGTGATGGTTTATTGGACGTCATACATACCGATGTGTGCGGACCCTTTAGATCAACCACAAAGGATAGGAAGCGCTTGTATGTGACTTTTACCGATGATTATAGTAGATATGGGTATATTTACTTAATCAAGCAAAAGTCAGAAACGTTTGAAAAGTTCAAAGAGTTCAAAAATGAAGTGGAGAATCAATTGGGCAGGAAAATCAAGATGCTTCGATCCGATCGAGGAGGAGAGTACCTAAGTCTTGAATTCCACGACTATCTCAAAGAATGCGGAATAGTTTCGCAATTTACGCCACCTAGGACACCACAATTGAATGGTGTGGCAGAAAGGCGTAATCGAACTTTGTTAGACATGGTTCGTTCTATGATGAGTCATGCTTCACTATCTATCTCATTCTGGGGGTATGCCTTAGAGACTGCCGCCCATATCCTTAACCGAGTCCTTACAAAGAAGGTTACCAAAACACCTCACGAGATGTGGACAGGGAAAGCTCCCTCGTTATCACATATCAAGGTTTGGGGTTGCGAGGCTTTCATAAGACGAGATACTCACGACAAGCTCGAACCTCGTAGTGAGCGATGTATTTTCATCGGCTACCCGCAGAAATCCTTTGGATATCTCTTCTATAGACCGAGTGACAATGTTGTCTTCGTTGCGAGGAGAGGGGTTTTCCGAGAGCGAGAACTCATAAGCCAAGGAGATAGTGGGAGGCAAATCGAGCTTGAAGAGATTAAAGAATCGACTGATGAAGGAGCCTCTACCGCTGGCAATCAACCCGAGGAGGAAACTCCGGTTGCACCTATTGACAAGTACTTACCTCTTAGACATTCCGAAAGAGTTAGAGTTCAACCCCAGTTATATGGTTTTCATATTACTACCGAAGGGGACACGTATATTAGTGGTAGTACACTAATAAATCTAGATGAACCTAATAGCTTTAAGGAAGCCATGGCAGGCCCGGAGTCTGCAAAATGGAAAGAGGCAATGGATAGCGAGATCTAATCCATGTATGACAACCAAGTTTGGAATTTGGTTGATAATGTGCCTGGACGTAAGACCGTTGGGTGCAAATGGATCTTCAAGAAGAAGACCGACGTGGATGGAAACATACACACATATAAGGCGTGATTGGTTGCGAAGGGCTTTACTCAAACTCCTGTAGTTGACTATGGTGAGACCTTCTCATCAGTTGCGAAGATAAAATCTATTAGAGTGATGCTATCTATTGCCGCATTTCATGATTATGAGATTTGGCAAATGGATGTCAAGACCGCTTTCCTTAACAGGAAGTTGGCTGAGGATGTTTACATGGCTCAGCCAGAAGGTTTTGTTGATCTGAAGCATCTAAATAGAGTGTGTAAGCTTGAGAAGTCCATTTATGGACTAAAGCAAGCGTCTCGCAGATGGAATCTTTGCTTCGATGAGAAAGTCAAAGAGTTTTGATTTGTACGAATCGAAGATGAATCATGTGAATATGTCAAAGCCAGTAGGAGCATAGTTAGCTTTCTTGTTTTGTATGTCGATGACATATTGCTCATAGGAAATGACATCCCGACTCTGTAGGAGGTTAAGTCCTGGATCGGGAAGTGCTTCATTATGAAGGACCTCGGAGAGGCTTCCTATATTTTGGGAATAAGGATAGTGATAGAAAGAAGTAAGAGACTAATAGGAGTTAGTCAGAACACTTACTTAGATAAAGTACTAAAATGTTTTAGTATGGAAAATTCGAAGAAGGGAGAATTATTGATACAAAGTAATGCCAAATTGAGTAAGACTGAAAGTCCGAGTACCGAAGCTGAGATAGCAGAAATGATCCGAGTACCATACGCTTCCGCAGTTGGCTCAATCATGTATGCTATGACTTGTACTCGCCCTGATGTAGCCTTTGCTTTGAGCATGGTTAGTAAATATCAAGGGAACCCTGGCAGAGCACATTGGATTGCTGTCAAGAATATCCTTAAGTACCTTTGGAGGACTAAGGAATGGTTTTTAGTCTTCGGGGGAGTGATGACTTGAAGGTGCGAGGGTATAGTGATGCCAGTTTTCAGACCGACAGGGACAACTTCCGTTCGCAGTCGGGCTGGGTCTTTACCTTGAATGGAGGAGCAGTAACTTGGAAAAGTTCCAAACAAGAAACCATAGCTGATTCAACGTGCAAACCAGAGTACATCGCAGCGAGCGAAGCGTCGAAAGAGGCAATATGGTTAAAGAACTTCATTGGTGATCTTGGAGTTGTGTCTGCCATAAATGAGCCTATGGAAATTTTCTGTGATAATGAAGGATCGGTTGCCTTGACCAAGGAACCGAGGGATCATGGTAGATCTCGTCATATCGACAGAAAATATCATTTCATTAGACATCCAGTAGAAAAAGGACACCTCGTGGTAAGGAGGATATCATCCGAAGATAACCCAGCAGATCCACTTACAAAGGGACTGAGTAGGGTTAAGCATTTGCAGCATGCTAAGAGTATTGGGCTGAGAGATGATATTAGATTAGATTAGATAGTTTTAGAAACTTATAATACACTACTAGAAAAAAGGCCTTTTACGACGCGCAAAATACGACGCTCATTGATCTATGTTACGCAAAGGAGAGTGACATTAGAAAAATGTCATCTCTTCAAAAAATTTAAGGATAGAAGACACGCATTATTGCGCGCCCTTAAATTAGTGTCTAAGAAAAACACGGAGGGCACCTATAATAAAATGCGCGTCGTCTAAGGATGTCGCTTTATAATTTTTAATGGAACGCGCGTTCCATCCTTTAACAGTAGGGGGAAATGAAATTCTGAAAAAATTAAAAATCCCGCCTTCCTTTTTTTTTTCTCCTTTCCCTCTTGCCCAAATTATGGATGCTCCTTCCTTCCCCCTCCCGACATTGCTGCCTACTTCTTCCCTCACTTCTACCTACCGGAACCACCATATCTCCCACTCGATGTTGAAATTGTTAGAAAAAGCCCTAATTATACACTCCACTAGATTGGGATCTCATTAATTGGAAATCCGCGCTGAATTTCTTTCTACCCATGGACACGATTTTCAATAATGCGATAACAAAAACGATTACGAGCCATGAGAGAGCGTACACTAAGATTGATTTATCGTTTTGGACGACTTTGAGGTGGTAAACGATACTATATTGGTAAATGAAGAATCAGAGAGAAAGGAGGATTTCCGTCAGACGACCGACTGTACCGGTGGATCGGAGGTGGTCCTGTTCTTCCTCCCACCACGATTCCCAGCTTTTGTTCGCCGGAACACCGATTCCACCGTTGTTTCTGATCCACGCTGACCAGTCGTCCCAGTCTTCAACGATTTTCTGCCCTTCTTCAATCTTGAGTACATGGTGTGTGCTTATTTTTTCTGCTCAAATCCCAACTTCCACTTCAGATTTACAGTATTTTTCTATATTTTTTTCTTCATAAACATGCTGATTTATCCCATTCTATATCTAAACTTTGATGTTATGAATAGGGTATCAATAGGGCTAGGGTGGAGCAAATGGAAGACCGGTTGAAGGAAAGTTATGAATAGGGTATCAATAGGGCTAGGGTGGAGCAAATGGAAGACCGGTTAAAGGAAGACATATTGCTAGAAGCTGCAAGGTATTCTTTTTAACATGTTTCTGTGTTTGATATCCATTTTCTTATCATCTCAATACCTATCTCGATTACAGATATGGAAATAAGATCCTAATAACTGATGAACTACCAGATGGTCAAATAGTGGATCAATGGGAGCCAGTCACACCGACTCTGTCAAAACATCACTACAGGTTCACCATACTATGAAATTAAATGTTCATTTTGAATATCTGTTTCATAATTCCTTTCACTATTGTAGGTCTATTTAGAAATCCAAACAAGAAAATTCCTTGTTGACTACGAACGTATTCCAGCAACAAATGAAAAATCACCCAAGGAACATGATTTTGATACGTTGGTGAGTGTTATTTTCATTTAACAAAATGAAAATATTTAACTTAGATTATACTTTATATATGATTTGTGTTTTATGATCTTTATAGGTTGATAGAATTTCAAGAGCTGATCTTAAGACATAAATAATCTTTAACTGCCAAATGGGGCATGGGCGTATTACCACAGGGATGGTCATTGCCACATTGATCTATTTAAATCGAATAGGAGCTTCTGGTACTTTTTTTTGTCTCTGTGAAGTTTATGTTTTATGATTGCATGCTTTTACAATATGCAAATGAACCTTTTTCCTTATAAATTTCCCATTACAACAACATTCTTGAGGCCTGGGTAGACCCGTCTTTTGGCACAGCATGAGAGAAGAACCTGTTATTTACATTAATGGAAAGCCCTTTCTGCTTCGTGAGGTTGAAAGACCCTACAAAAACATGCTCGAGTATACGGTATATACTAATAATCTTCTCTCATTTTTAATGTTTGTTGCCTAAGAACAAAAAACAAAACAGAGCAGGAAGAAAAAAAAGGAAAAAAAACTACATGGCTGGCAACAGGTGATAACAGGGGAAGAAAAAGATGGGATTTTTTATTTTGCTTGGTGGAAAAGAAAACTTTTATTGCTGAAAAACTTCTTTCTAAATACCTATAACGTAGCATATTTATACTAAAAGAAAAAGAGTTTGACTCATAGTCTAAAACCGGGAAACAAAAATAATAAAAGCATTTTCCTAAAATGCCCCTGTGGGCTTTTTCCTGAATTACGCCAACAATGGAGGTGATATTATGGCAATTCACGAACTACAATCATATTTTATTACAAAAACTTAATTAAATTGGAACTTTCCCAACATACCCCTGAGGCTATTTTTGTCCCCAATTCTTAGGGGACGGAATAATGATGGATGGTCATGCTAAAATTTGGTTTTGAATTTAATTTGGTATAAAAATGACAGGTTTGATAATGGTAGATGGTCAAGATACAAGAACTTTTCAAGTCCATTTGGAATATTACACTACATATAATATTCTCTCTTTATTTCAGAACTTCTTACTTCTTCGTCTTATTAACTTTTTCATCTTATAATATGTTTGGATGCTGCTACATTTTAATACTGTCTGGAGTATATTATATTTGTTATTTGTGATAATAGCAGCTCGTTTTGTTTGTGATGGGATTAGTGTAAATTTTTGTCTGTTTTGTTGTTTTCTGGATGATAGCTAGGTACCTAAAGCATTGTTTAAAGGTGGATCAGTAGTCTACATGTCATTGCATGTCATTGCATTCTCACTGTTACCTATCAAAGTACTGAGGTAAAAATTATGATTTTTTATATTAATTTTCTTACTTTCTAAAATTATTAGTGTTTTTTTTTTCTGAGTTATGATTGAAAAACAGTTAACTAGGGTAAATTTTATGAATTATGATATTAGTTTCTGAAAATATATAATTAGGGCATCATTATGTCTTATTGCCCCGGGCAACATATTTCTTTGGACCGGCCCTGGGTCCTTGCATTGCAATTGCCTATTTATCGGTTCTAAAGGACTGTGAGATTCATTGCTTTCATGAAGGATTGGAAGTCAAACGACTTGGTGGTCTCCATGTCATTGGGACATCTTTGCATGAGTCCCGAAGAATTGATAATCAGGTAACTTTGCATCAGTATTGTGTTTTAAGGTTTTACATAAATTTAGCAAATACTTTCAGACTCACTTTTTTAATTTATTTCTTGCTTTACAAAGCTTCGTGGCAGAGCAGGAAGGCAAGCAGATCTTGGATCAACACGCTTCATGGTCAGGTAAGTTCATTTAAATGATTTTTATAAAGTTTAAAGTCAATCCTTTCATCTGGACAAAATTCTTCATGTTAAATTACGTAATAGTCCTTGGAGTAGTTGACATGAACAATTTTTTTTTGTTAGAATGATTCCATATATATGTGCAAGCAAGCACATGCCTTGTGAAAAAGGGAAATCTATTCTAGTCATTCTCTTTAACAAGGCAACCTTAAAGTTGATTTTTTAAACCTGATGTTTAAAACTACATTGAGTGTGAGATAGAAGTTTATGCAGAGAAGGAAAAAGATAGAAGTTTTTGAGGATGTTGCTGATGAAAAAGATAGAGGTTCTTTAGGATGCTGCTAATGAAGTTTATGCAAATAAGGAAAAAGATAGAAGTTTGTTGGCACATAGTAAGCTAGATAATTAATGCAATTGTATATAAATGAGTTCATTTTTTTATAACATTTACTCACTATTGGAATAATTATTTGTATTTGACATATTAGTGAAATGAATTATATTTGTTATTTATGGTATTTTATTTATTATTATGAGATTTCTAATGTATTATTTAATATGAAAAATTAGTAAATCTATAAATAATATTTTTTTAAAACATTTAAAATTATGATACGCAAAAATGTGTGTCATCTTTATTTATGACATGGCCTTTCTTGACAGGGGCTTCCTTGATACGCATTGCGTGTCATAAACACGCGCGTCGTAAGGTTACGACACGCAAATGCGTGTCGTCTTCCTTTATGACAGGGCCTTCCTTGATACGCATTGCGTGTCATAACCGCGCGTCGTAAATGTGGGTCATAAATGCGCGTCGTAAATGCGCGTCGTCTATAGACGACACGCAAAAGCACGTCATCTCTCTTTATGACAGGGCCTTCCTTGACACGCATTTGCGTGTCGTCTGAGCGTTTTACGACGCGCAATGAGCGTCGTAAAAGGCCTTTTTTCTAGTAGTGATAGATAAATGTTATTTAACATTTGGTGAATAAATAAAGGAGTATTATTTATAAGTAAAGTTATTGTCATATGTTAATGTTTAACTATTGTTTCACTTTGCATGTTTTGACTTCCTGAATAATTTAGTTTATTTGAAATAATCGAATTATTCAAACAATCCACAATCGTTCATATGCTGGAAGTAGGTATGAATGAAGATTGTCATGAATTGGTGTGTAGATTGTCTAAATGGTATTAGACATAGCAAAAGGTTGCTGCAACGTTCATGAGTGCTTATGAACTAGTTTTGAGCATTGGAACAAACCCGCGCTTGCTAGAATCACCTTATGGAATTTGAAGAAAAGGTTGATCGCAAGACGATAATATCCTATAGTCTTAAAACCTAGATATATGGTTTGTTATTTGTTAATTGGTTGTACATTGATAATGCGAAACCGCATCAGTAAATTGATGTTATAAAACGCATTATTGTGTATAATTTATTAATGAATAAGTAAATGCATATAAGTCGAAGTTTATCTGTTACTTTTACCATAAGAGGTTAAAAGCGATATCTCGGCCGCTCGATGATTTCATTTGACTTATGTGCCAGGCCCGGTCAGAACTAAATTGATGTGTTCGATTAAGTTCTATGTCGAATAAATCTGAGATCGAGAAACCAAATGCTGGACAATTGGTTCCATAGAATTGATAGCATGATATCTAAGCAGAGGACTATATGATCCCTTATCTAAATGACAAAATTGACAAGATCAGAGTTTGACAGCGTCTTTGAGAGCTACGATTGCTAATCGTTATATATACTTACTAGACTTATCCAAGTGGGAGGATGTTGGAATAGTGTCTAAGGCTACAACTGTATTTTGTAAGTACTTGGCCCGATTGAGCATGGTCCTTTTGGGTTGCCTTCACCTAGCAACTTGACAGGATGATTTATAACGAGAGAAGAAATATTATTAATATATTATGAGAATAATATAAGGAATAATAATATTGTTATTTGATTAATATAAGTCAGAAATTAATTAGGAATTAATTTGGTGACTTAAAGAGATTAATTGAATAAAGGGGCATAAACTATCAATTGTGTGATAGTTGTATTTTGAGCAGTGACTCCTTGGGGATAAGGGGTGGACGGATTTTAGGGTTTGGATAAGCCTACAAATCGTCCAAAGGCTTATCATAAGGAGATTGAATCGCTTAGAGCCTAAGTTATCCAATTAGGGTTTTAAGGGTGAAACCCTAGGAGGCTCACTAGTATAAATACACCCATAGGGTTAAGAAAATCGGTACCCTTGGTATTGGAGGAGACCTTACCGATTTTCACACCGTTCCATCTATCTCAAATCATCCTCTTGCTAGTTGGTGTTTGTAAGCCATTAGAGGAGTGACATTTGTTACTCTAAGCTCCAAGAATAAGAAGATTCATGCAAGTAATTTAAGGTATTCTTTTGGATCTGATTTCTTATGTTATTATACTAGATCTATCAATCAAAGTCTTGGATTTATTGCATGTTCAATTAGAGAAACCTAGATCCAAGCATTAGGTTTTGTATGTGTACATAGGAATGTTCTTATGGCTAAAACCCAACAAAATGTTGGTATGCAAAGCATTGGCGACAACTATCAACCATCTGCTGCTAGCAATGGGGTCCCTAGCCCTATGATAAACTGTAGCTCTAAAAGCTATGAACTCCCAAAATGTCAACGAACACGTCCTTATCATGTTCATCATTTCGGTGCAAAATGCCCCCAACCTCTCATCACAAATCTCCAAAATGCCCTCCTTGAACGTACCGAAGATTACAGGAGTCTGTCAATGATACTGCGTGTAATCTCAAATGAGGTGAACTCCCTCATCTGACCATCAAGCTGCCTGGCTCCAGAGTCCAAGCCTGATCCCTCTTCGGCCCCAAAACTATCATCTGGTCTACCACGTAGCGTCACCATACTCGGAAATATACCATAACAATCATCACAATACTCATCATAACTCGATGTATCTTACATACTACAATTTTCCTGGGTTCATCTCAGTCTTCCTTGATTCGAGTATGGATCCTCTACTTTCAGTAGTATGGGCCTATACTATCTTCCATATCTATCCGTACTTTCCTCAAGAACTTGCTTGACTACACCAAGTCCCTTCTACTACTGCTGCTTCATGCACTAACCTCATCCTAGGCTTGACCTAGGGTAATCTCCGTCCCACTCTCCTCCATCAACTGCATAAGAAATCCCTACTATCTCCCCCTAAATAGCTCATGAATACCATTACATATCACTAAGACCAGATAATTCTTTGAATGAGAGGTTCTACCCTACAACAGTTAGACTTAAACGAGAGCTGTGAAATAGAGCTAAACGTA